TGCTGGAAAATGGCGGTCAAATGGGTGTTGTTGGGGTAGCCTTTGTTGCCAAATCAATCGTAGAGAGGATATTTTTTGTGAAGTTTTTGCATAATGGTGTCGCGGGTTACTTTGGCAATAATCGAAGCAGCAGCAATATTAATAGACCGTCGATCGCCACCCACTACACTGACAATTTTAAATCCTTCGGAAACAATTTTTTCTTGACCGTCCACTAGACACAAATCAGGCCTATTTTTCAGGCCGACCAGAGCCTCAACCATGGCTTCCTTGGTGGCAGCAAGAGGATTTTTGACTTCTACTTCCCGAGCACTTTTGGCAATGATTTTATATTCCAAGGCCTCTTTTTTGACGAGACGATAAGCCCTTTTTCTTTGGCTGGGGCTAAGTATTTTTGAATCCTGAATCAAAGGATTTTGATAGCCGGTTGGTAAAACAACGGCAGCAACTATTATTGGTCCCGCCAGGGCCCCCCCGCCCAGCTTCATCAACACCAGCAATTAGTGGATAATCCTTTCACAATCTTAATTCCAAGTCTAAACTTTTTTTTACCATTTTATTTGCTATCATTAAATTGCGTTTAAATTTTTAGATAAATTAAGGAATTCTTTTTACAAAATTGAAGATAAAGTTTATTTAATTCCTGTGCTAATGAAGGATTGAAATCTTTTTTCAGTTCAATTATTTGATAGGCTATGTTTTTCAAGGCCAAAATTAATTTATTTTTCTCATCATATTTCGGTAAAAAAATAGAAAGTTTGTCGAAAGAATAATTTCTTTCTGCGTTAGTGGCTTCCATAAATTTTTTGATTATAGGAGTGTTCAAAATAGCTGTTATATAGTATGCTTCATCCTGGGAAATAAAATTTCCTTTTTTGTCTTGAGAAACGTATTTAATATGACTATCAAATAGAGGCGTTTTAACTTCTTGTCACGGAGTGTTTATTTTGTTGAAATAACTTGCTACTCATTTAGTATTATCTCGGCAACAAACAAAGTGTTCTGCGTAAGTGTATTTTCCTACTCTTAATAAGCCATAATTTTCCGAAACATTTTGAACTCTTTGTGAATATTGGCTCTTTTTACTTAATAAATCCTTGGCTTGATAAATATAATCGGATAATTTAGGTCAAGAATTTATAATTTTATCAATAGGAAGTGGTTGTTTAGCTTTTTTGTGTGTCATAAGGAAAAAAAGTTCATTCTATTACTTTTTCATTTTTCTTAAATAAGGAAAGATTGGAGCTTGTTATATAGGGATACATTATTTCATTTTCTAGTTCTATTGAAATTGGTAAATTTTTACTTTCTTTAATTTTTTGCCCTTTTGACTTCTAATGAACAAGGAGGTAGCGGATAAAATGTTTTTTTTATAGAAAAAACGACAAATATCTTTTCTGGTT